TCAAAGTGGCTTGACTCCTTTTTTGAGATTCTGATACTCGTGGCTTTTATACTATTCTATAGCTGGTGAGTTCCTAAAACTGTTATCGGACAACTTTTATAGTATTCTGATAGACGAGGCAGGCTTATATGCTCTCATTAGAAGATAGTTAAATAAATACTATTGAACTATGATCCTCGTGCACCATTTTTTTATTTGTTCTTTAAAAAGTTACAGAGCGAAAAAGAAGTAAGAAAAATTACAAAAAGAAAACAATATACATATATAATACCCAAAGGCATTTTTTTGTCCATGTGTCATCAAATCTGCGCCGTTCGTTCGATTTTCGAAAATGAGGTGTCAAATAAAAGAGCTTGACTGTAGAGACGGTTGCCAACCGTCCCGTTTTCGGCAGGACTGTCCCGGATTTAAGAGCTATGTCCCGGTCCCGGTACGACACATACCGGGACGTAAAATTACCCGGTTTTTCGAAAAAAAATTTAGACATCTCGTTGTAAAAAAATATAGAACTCTTAAAATATGTGCATATATTTTTCAAATTCTACTTACTGATTGTCACTATCCGCCGTATTTTGCTTTCTACTGCGATTTCCTGCAGACTGTTTCATTCATAACTAAATACAATAAACAAATTGCGCAATATGGTAGTGCCATGCATAAAGCTGTTTGCTAACAATTCGTGGCAATGCCGTTGAATCAGCTGATAATTTTAAACAGTTAACTGTTTCCCTTTGAATGTGTAAATTCTTGAGTAAAGATGAAAATAATATGTCTAATTTTGTCCCGGTTAAAATAAGTGAATTACACGAAAAAAGTCAAAAACTCGATTGAAGAATACGCCATTTTTTACCAACTTCAAACTACAGTGATAACTTGTATGTAAATTCCTGGGTTTTGCACATAGTCTAGATATATTTTTTTTTTGTGGTATAAACTATATTTTTATAAAAAATTCGTGGAAAAAAAATTTCCATACATTGTGAAAAATTCTCTGTGCCAATAATTTAGTGCGGCTCTGTACATATTTACATACATATCGATCGACCTATCTCGGCAGCCCGTTCAAAAACGATTTAGATCAGAAAATTTTTCAAGAACGCCTTATCTCAGAATTCGGTCGAAGAACGCCGTATTTAGAATTTGGTTCAAAACGCCCTATCTCAGCACATTTTCAATGTATATTCAGCTGAGATAGGGCGTTATTGAAACGAATTCTGAGCAGGGTATTTTTCAATAAAATTCTGAAATTACGCGTTCTTCAATTAAATTGTGAAGTAGAGCGTTCTTGAACAGTTTTCTGATTGGGCGTTTTCGAAATGGCTGCCGAGACGAGTAGCTCTTCGACTCAGTTGGCGATATATAGAAATTTATAATTTGGTGTAATTTTTATTTCAATCTTAATTTATTTAAAAGTATTATCATTAAAGCATCGTTTTATGAAAACTTTTAAGCATCCATGAAATTTTATATTGTTTTGTTGTTCTCCGTTGTTCAAAATTAACCAATAAAATTGATGCCATTTAATATTTTATTTTACCTACCCTCTTTCCTAACATTGTGTGCCCCGGTTTCAAGCATGCAAAAGATGGCAACTGTGGCTGTAGATGCTAGGACTTACCCTTCATTTTTGGCAATTTATGATCAAAAAAAAAAAAATGCGCAGCAGCGTCAACAAAAAAAAATTGCCAAAAATCAACGATAAGTCCAAGGCACTTTGCTGTGCTAAAATTTGATGAGCTACAAAACTGAATACCAAAATTTGTCCTAAAGACGCTGGTCAAGAAGTTAAAAAGTTTGGTCAAACATTAGAGAATTTTCATAAATTTGGCACAAAGTGTGAAATTCGGATTTATGTTTGTTAAGTAATCAGCTATACTTTCATAAAAAAAGAAGCGTTAAATAAAATAAAGAAAAATAGCAAAAATTTACTAAAATGCGGTGTTCCAGTTTCTATTTGGTTCACCGTATGTGTACCTCGGTAACCGATTTATCAATTTGTACCAAATTCAGTGAATTGTGAGAACTCTCCATATACTCCCTTGTTTAACCGACTTCAAAAAAGGGGAGGTTATCAATTCGTCGGAATATTTTATTTTTTTTTAACGTATGTTACCGTTACTCTAGTGGAAATCTAAAAACGTTCATATAAATACTACAAAAGAGTTCTTGTACTGTGCGAAAAGCACTGTCTGTAGTACAAGAGGTCTCGGCTTTTTCTAAAATTTTGAGCAGCGACCCCTCCCGAATCCTAAGTTTTTATACAGACCTACCCCTTTGAAAATCCGACCAAAAGGCTTTGTATTTTTACAGGAACATTTTCTATCAAAGTAATGTTTGGTTTGTACTAATCATAAATCTACTGTTATATGCGCAGGTAGACATTCTTTTTATGGACGAGAGCCTAGTCGTTTCACCAAAGAATAAAGTAAGTCTAAGAAAGTTAGCGCCTGTATTGGAAACTGAAGATTCACCCGGATACCATGAAGTGTACTTTTTTACAATAATCCATTTCAAATCTTCATATTACCATACCCATGTCAAATTTGTCATCTGCAGTTTAACTTCAAGTCTGCACGAGTTATCGTCATACCATAGCTATTAAACTTCCCATTCTATTCTGGGATGCTCTAATATACGCGTATATATAAAAATTTCTCTTTTGTCTTCCTGTTCCTTTAATAATTACAGCCATGTATTTTTTGGCAATATGTTTAATTGCCTTAACTTGTAAATAGTCTGTTTGTTCATAGACCAAAGAAATGAACTAATTAATTAGGTTTCGAAATATTAGTGTTGTGTTACCGATTGTGCGATAATTTTAGGAAAAAATTTCAGTTGACATTGTGCAATAATCACACCAATTCATGAGCAAAGTATACGATAGATCCACTCAGTCGAGAACATTGCTACTGCTCTTCTTCATCTTCATCTTCATCTTCATCTTCATCTTCATCTTCATCTTCATCTTCATCTTCATCTTCATCTTCATCTTCATCTTCATCTTCATCTTCATTTTCATCTTTATCTTCATCTTCATCTTCATCTTCATCTTATTTTATGACTTGGTGTTAAATGTTTAACGCAACCATATCCGAACTCGTGTAAGATGTTTCACTCCAAAAAAAAAAAAAAAAAACAAATTGAGAGCACCTAATTAAAAATAATCAACTTTCAATCTTACTTTCTAGTTAGCATATTGTAAACTAGCCCACTAATGTGTGACTTGAATGCTGCAGCGCCCACAACCTTCAAGTTGCAACAAATTTACAAACTCAATCTACAAGAATTTCAAGTGCAACGAGAAATTTGAATTTTTATGACTTAGAGACAAAAAGTGCTGGCTGTATGTTGTTGTACATATTTTTTATATGGTTTATAAATATTTAAAAGCTGCTATTTACTTACATATCGTCGTTTAAAATACACAACCGCGTATCAACAAAATGCAATGTATGTGAGGTTGCATAAATTATTTTCTAGAGAGTAAAGACACTCATATTTCAAAGCGGTTCTCTTTTTGATAAAGCAATCGCATCTCTGACTAGTATATTTCAGGACGAATGGATAGGATTGAGCCAAGAGCTTATGTGAGCAAATCAAATTTTTGGCAAAAGTTGTCAGTTACGCGGTTTTGCAGAATGATGATACGCGGTTTTGTACTTGAAGGACGATATGTACATTAATGTGCACCTTATTTCAATGAATATAATTTTTTTGTAAATTAGAAAGTAAGACCCCCTAGATAGGTTCGTTTGGTCACAAAAGCGTGCTTTGCGAAAAATTTTCGAAATCGTATAACGGAAAGGCGTGTCTCAGGAGCCCAAAAGCTACATATTTAATTCATTACATTTTACACAAAATAGGAAAAAATAGCCTATAATTTAGTAAACAGGCCTTATTTGTTTCATATCAATCAATGGATTTTTCACGCTGACTTCAAATATGGCTATGCATGGCAAGTCTCGTTTGGTTTGGAAGTTATTGAGGTTATAGAGCCATTTTTCCACTATCCGACTTGGAAAGTTTTTCGCATAGCACATTTTTAAGAACTTTTCGAGGGGAGTCCTGCTTTGTGTTTCAAAAAAATAAAAATTGAGGCGCACCCAAATTTACATGCACACGAAACAACATCAAAGCCCATGAAGTCTTCGTAGAAATGTATGGAAAACTTCATAGGCTTTGAGACAGTTCTAAATATCCATTTTTACAAAAAAACTTTTGAACTTTTTTCCCCGCATGTATTTTTGAACCACCCTAATGTACATTGTACCATTTAAATACGATCGTGTGTACATACACACATATTTACATACATAAATAAAGTCACATCAATGCCTAAGGCTTGGCCTTTGGGATCCTCTGTAGATTCACATAAAAGTATTTTGTTCAAATGATAAATTACAGAGGTCATATATACAGAGTGTAATATTGTGTTTTTTGAAGGAGTTTTAGGTATTATATACAGGCCATTTGGGGCTTAGATTCCACGTCATGTTATTACAATAAAAGGATTTATACGCTTGTTCGAAATATGTAAAAGTTTTGTGATTGAAATGTTGAATATATTTTGTCGTTGTTTGTGAACAGCGCCAGTATATTTTATTTATTTTTCTTTTAAGAATATTTATTGATGTGTTGTATTGAATACTAAAATTTTTAAAACTTCAATGCACAAATTTTATATTTAATAAAAATAGGGTTTCAGAATTCTAATACTTAAAAAAAGCTATTATTTAATTGTTTACACCTTTTAGTTAGTCATTTTTCATTTAACACAATTTGTTTTTATTTTAGTTACATATGTAAGTATGTATTGCTGTAATAATTGAATTTGTATTGAGCATATATGTACATATGTACATATGTATGTATGCATGTAATTATTTATTTTTTCTTCACGCATTTCGTAAATCCATTTCACACTTTCGCTATTAGCTTCACAATTTATTTCACTTAATTTGTATTTTCCATGTTTAAAATCGTAAAACTAATTAGCTTACAAAATATCCAACAGAAACTTTAAGCGTCACTTGAAGACTACAACGGAGCGTGACAAGGCGCTTTGGCGACACGAGCTACACTGAGCGTTTGATGGCAATCGCATCAGCTCCAAGTCTTTTTCGGCGCGAAACTGTCGCCCGACGACGCGCACTACGTTGGAGCTGCTTCGGATTAGGTTTGTTACATAGCTCAGGTGAATTTGTGCACACACAGACTTGCAAATGCTCATACATACGTATGGTTGTTTGCACGCCGGAAACAGCTTTGCTGGGCGTCTCATCTTATGTCCCAATCGTCTAAATAACACACTGCGATATACATAGCTTCTTTTGCACGTTTCCCGAACATCTTCTGCGCTTTGATAGCAAAGCTAGAAATATATTGTATTTATGCTGCGAGAGGAAGCACTGTAAGAGAAATGAAAAGAGTATAATGTTTACAATGGGCAGAACGCCAGTAAATAATTTCTTAAATGTTCATTTGTACTTGTTGCATGTAATTGTTTAGATACTTAAAAATCCATATTAAATACGGTACATTGGGATGGATTTAATAAAAATACTTCTACACGCCATTCAGAACCAGATCGTTTCGTAAATTCACAACCAACATGTCCAAAAAGCAATTGGCTATAGTCGGGGACCGCTCCGACTTATTCGGTTTAAGTGCAAGCGGAGGCATGTTTGCAGCAATCGGATCTCTATATAAGCGTGTATTTGGCTAAAAAACCATCCAGCGAGGGTTAGGAATAGCCTTAGATGAATTTCTAGTCGTCGGGTAAGCGTTCATCTGACAATATTCTGCATAAGAGTTGAAGCATGCATCTATTTAATCAACTCCTCGTCGCCGTACTTGAGTAGCTCAGCTGGGAGGTTCTCATGGTTGCTCCTGCCAGATTTCGCCCTGGTCTTGAAATCTCCCGTACGTTTTTGCTGTCGGCCAGCATTTCCAGCTCTGCACACTTACGCATTTCGACCTCTCTCTTCTTATTCAGTTCCCTATAGCGGTCCCACAATGCTCTCGTTGCGCCCGATCGCAACGTGGCCTTGTAGGCGGCATCTTTTTTCTCTGCAACTTCTGGACACCCCTCATCGTACCATTTGTTCTTTATGGCTCGCTGAAATCCAAATACTTCTTCGTCGGCGGTATTTAATGAGCGGAAAATGTGGTTCCACTGCTCGCATATGTCGGTTTGTTGAAGGGTGACCCTGAAATTCAAATAGCGAATGCAGGCTGTCTGCGTTGACAACACATTTTTCGCTGCACCTGGGTGGATGCGTATCTTGGCTTGCAAAAAGATTGCGGTCCGAGTCGATGATTGGTCCTGGGAGTTTACGTTCATCCAAAACACTGGAATCGTGCCTTCCGTCTATCACCGGTTTGGTCTATGATCGATTAGGTTTCTCGTCTTTTATTTTGGAGATATCCACGTAGCTGGACAAATCTATTTACGCTTGAACCTAGTACTGCATACTACCATATTTTAGGCCCCGGCGAAGTCGATCAGCCGCAGTGCGGTGACGGACTTTTCGTCGTGGAGGCTGGTTTTTACGACGGTGCTAAGCACGATTTTTATACCATGGCATGGCAGCGCCTCATATGCGTGCTTCAAGTGCTCATACAAGCTATCCTTGGATACTTCCTTACTTTGATGTGGATGATGTCTCTCTCTTACCACAAATTCTATGCCGAATTTGCGCTCCTTTACATGACAGCTCTAGCAGACATCGCAAGGCCCCAGACATCTTGCCTTCGCTCGTCCAACGCGTTTCTTGGATGGTGGTGATGTCAGCTTTTGTCCTTAAGAGGACGTCAATCAGCCGGGTAGAGGCACCTTCCCCATTAGAGGTCCGGACATTCTAGGTACATTCCCTCAAATCGTGGTCCTTTAAACGTTTGCCGTGGTCGTCATCAAAAGGGGGGTTTCATCCAAGACTTTTTTCTCTCTTCTTCAATGGAAGTGATTTTTACGTGGCGGGTCCCCAACCCAGCACACAACCCATTGCTGGGACATAGTGAGCCGCTTGCAGCCGCATCTACCAGAGAACATACGCTGCTGACTTTCCCATCTTTCCCATCATCACAGTTGCTGGACGTCCTCGTAAGATACAAGGCTAGCATCATTGCAATCCATAAATTGCTGTAGACGGGACACGGCTGCATGAAATATGCAACGTATGAAATATACCACAGCTGCTATGAGACGCTGCACTAATTTGGTGTGGAGTTTGTGATTAGGCGGTGAGTATCACACATCGTCTCCAGGTTCACACCCAGCAGTTGACGAATTACCACGATCGCCATCAAAGTTAAATTCAACAATTTAAGTCTCATTTGTGCGCATACCCCGACAGAGGAGTTGAACGCTTAGACTAAAGAGCAGTTCTACGAGCGCTTAGAGGAAGCATATGAGCGCTGGCCCCGCCGCGATGTTAAAATTGTGCTTGGCAACTTTCACACTAATGTAGGTAAATAGGGTAAATTTGGTCCAACAGACTTCATTACAACACCTTCGACAGGAATAACTGACAATGAAGAAACGTGAGGCAGAAAGACGTGAATGCGAAAAGCTTGAGATGCAGGCAAGCAGGAATGCGGCATGTAAAATTCCATCAGAAATAAGGCAACAATCAAAGAGTTTCAAAGCCTGTAGAGTTGAAGATGAAAATCTGGTAACATATGTATGGAGTACACTGGGAAATGAAGAAATGGTGACAGAGGTGGCGCATTTGATGAACGCGAACCAATTTATGGGGAGGAAGCTCACGTGACTCTACTTGACGAAGACGAGCGGGCCGTTTTTTGGGGGAATTTCAGCTCGTTCAATTCTAATATAATAAAGTTTCCAATGGCTAAAAATTACCGTTGATTTTTTAGAATTCGCTCTGTAACATTTGCTTTCATATAACGAATAAGCCTAATTTATTTTTTTTATATTGAAGAAAATCGAAACAGTTTCACCGAAAAAATCCCAAAACGAAAATTTTTAGCCACTTGAAACTTGCACTTTATTATTCTAGAATTGAGTGGGCTTCCAAACTACAAACTGAAAATCTTTCAAGAAAATCCAATTAAAAAGGTCGAAATTTTGTTTGTTGTTTTTTTTCAAATATTGCGCAAAGTTTAAACTTGGATTTGTACGGCTTGTTAAAGAATGAACTATACATTTATAAAAAAATAGCTCAAATTAAATAACAAAAAATAATAATAATAATAGGTAATTGGTGCGCCTAACATTTTTTCGACCACTGCATGTATGTAAATATTACATAAATATTTTTTATTCTTTATTTATTAACTACCTTTACAAAAGTTTGGTTTGGTTTATCAATACATATGTAGATGAATTACATACGTTAAAAAAAAAAAAATAAACAGAAAGACCAGTCATATACATGATACAAAAAAAGAAGGTAGTTTCACTTTTAACTTTTTGACATAAACTGTGCTTACTGACGTTTTTACTTTTCGTAAATTGTTGAGGTAGCACTGCCACCTAATCAAATAATTATTTTGGAAATTTTAATATTTTTTAAGGAATTTTTATTTCATTAAAAAGTAAGTTGTAACGCACGAGGTAAATATACTTACATGATTGTTCGTATTAAAAGAGTTTGGTTTCAATTGCTTTAAGAGCTTTAAGAAACTAAGTAGGATGTTGCTTTATTTCGGATTCTAGGGAAGCATAAACTTCTTTGTTATAACGCATGATGTATAGCTCCTCGTATCTGCATGCATACATTAGTTTTATTATGCGTCTACATTTATACATTTGTATATTTACACTAACAGACCCGGCGAACTTCGTTCCGCCCAAAATAAATTGAAACATTTTGGTCTAACATTTTCACCAACAGTTCACGTTCATGATTTTCAGTGGCGCATTTATCTTCTAATATGACGGTTTGGTGGTTGTCAGAAGGCATAGCAAAACTGTACATGTCTACAAAGAAACGTAATAGTTTCAGTGCGCTTGAAAGGCGCCACGCCCCCTTTTCAAATAGCCCCAATTTTCTCTAAGAGTATGGGATTGATTTCATATATCTCCATACCATGTTCGAGTAATCTACCATGGGAGGTGCCACGCCCCTTTTTCCAATAGCCCCAATTTTTCTTCATAACCATGCGACTGATTTTATATATCTTGTACATACCGAGTTGCAGTACTCTTCCATATACACATCCAGAGATATGCAGTATGAGAAATTCCGTTTGTATGGGAGGTGCCACGCCCCCTACACCTAGCGGTATGAAGTATACTCTACATCCGATTCTCATACGTACCATATATACACAAAAAATTACATAAAGATCGGTCGAGCCGTTTAGAAGGAGTTCGACCACTAACACCGTGACAGAAGATTTTTATATATTAGATAAGCACGATGCGAGAAGCATAGAAAAAATTTCGATGAAAAAAAATATTTTTACTCGGGTTCACAACTATCACATCTTTTCAGTTGGAACCAACAATACGCACCCACAAAATTTCATTGAAATCGGTTAAGCTCAAATTGGGCGCATCCGTTCCTCCGGTTGAAATCTTTCGCGGAAAAGTGCTCGCAACAAACAAACGATACTTTTGGACCAAAAGTTTTGGTAACGCTTTTTCAGTAACCATACACGCGGATATCCACTTTTCCCGTATATATGGTACCGCCGGGAGTCGAAAGAACTTTATGTTAGTTTTTTCGCAATTTCTTCTGTTATTTTTGCAGCTCCTAAATATGCAGCTCATCCTACTAAAAAACAATACAATAATTAACAAGAGTAAATGCATATTTTAAGTGAATACAATGTAATAGTCAACTTACCTTCCGTTTTATATTCACTATCGCTAAAAGTTTAAATTTCTTTTAAATAATTATATACATATGCATATATATATATTTTTTTTTAGTAATCAATCACTTTTTTACTTTTGTCACAGAATATGGTAGCTCGATTTCAAAAGAAAATGCCAAAAGCACAGTTTGCGTCAAATGGGAGCAATGGCGGTTAAGAAGAAGAAGTGAAACTACCGTTAAATATTTGTATCATGGTTATATATCAAAATACATATATATTTTTCTAAATTGAGGAGATATCTATGAGGGTAAAATCGGGGAATTTCATTTCCGAAATCGGGGAATCCGCAAAAATGAGTTGGCTACCATGGTACTCATA